GGGGGGGGGGGGGGGGGGGGTGATATGGATCCTGGCAGGGGGTAAGGTAGAGTTAGGGACTGCAGGGGTGGGTGATGCGCATGCTTTTTTTTAGAACCCCTCTAAAAGGTAATAAAACTGGTTTGAAATATTTAAAGCAGAGGTAAAAATTGAACTACGGCCCATACAAAACGCAGCGTATGCGTACATATCTCTCAGTAACTTACCACTTTTCAGAATTTAGGAATTTTTTAATTTTTCAAATATTCTTAGCTAAACGAAATACGTAAAACTTTCCACAAAGAAAATCAATTCTCTGTTCGCACATGCACAGCTAGCTGTCATATATCATAACATCATATTAAGTTCCTACCTTGGCTTGTTTGACACTCTCCTGAGTGGGTTCATGGTCACTTTCCTCACTTGAATCATCATTCAAAGCACACAGACGAATCTTAGAAAACATCAGCAGCAAACTGTTAGAGCCTCATACTGGAAATGCTTAGGAACTGACCGTGAACGCTCTAGTACAACTTAATAAACAATATTAAACAACAATAAACATACCATAGTCAATTTATCTGCAGTGATATTCAGGTACCATTTGATTAAATATTAACGCTATTAATGGCAAGAACACCTTCAAAGCCCCTTACAGTTAAATAGCGGGGTCATTTTTAAGCATAAAACTTTGCGAGCAGAGACGAGAAAAATCCGCCATTTTGCCTTCTTGGCGGGAAAGGCTGCTAAGCTGTTCTGCTCAAAGCGTGGCTACAAAGGTACTAGTTCCAGTTTCCACGCACACTTCAGGACAAAATGGCTGACGTTCGCGGGGTTTTCAAAGATTTCATTTTGGAAACGTTTTACTCTGGATAATGTCTAGGCTCACACAACAAAGTGGCGATGACAGTCGTTACATTCTCGTGGCCAAGTTGGACAACGCGAGGAATCTTCTCAACATCCTGAAAGCTGTACATTTCAAAGAGGTAAGTTTGCAAAGCTAACTGCGCATTGATCATTGGTTCTTTTAGGAATACAGGAGAATAATCAAGCTGCTTGATCTTTAGAACACAGTCAAGGTATGAAATTAATTATGCAAGAGATCAAGGCAAATGTTGAATTAAGTTTGCACAGGCGGTTTAAAACAGAGGAGTTGGGGGTGGGGGGGGGAGGTGAGCCTGAGAGGCCTGAGGAGCACTCCAGTTAGCTAAGCTGTGTATGATTGGCTCTCATCACCCCCGCTTTAGACCTGCTGTTTTAATGCGCTTACTGTTACATGTCACAAATATTGCATCAGTCACTTCCATCATAAATCAGCCAATATTTGCCAGTTTTAAACCAAGACCATAAAACTAATAGTAAAAATTAGTTGTGTGTTGGTTAAAAAAGATTATGGTAGACAACACCATGGTTGGATCAGATTCTTTGCTTTGGTGTGATGATCATCTCAGGCAATACTTTTAACTAACTCTTGTTCCAAATTATATCTGAAGGACTAGCAGAACAAGAAAGCTTTTCAGTGTTGGCACCACTTACCAGTTTCTTTAGCGTCAGGTATATAGGGGAATTACTACATGTGAAGGATCCAGAGGTACCAAAAATGGACTCGGGGGTAATTAAAGATGGGCTGCATCTTGCTCAAAAAGAGGGACCAGAGACAGAGTGAATCTAGACCCTTTCTTACTCCCATAAGGTGGGCAAGATGGGAAATAAACTGTATTACTGGCCATAATGTTGGTTCAGGTTTTTTACCAACAAGGTGCAGTAGGATTGGAGGTGAGTGAGCGCCTTTTGAATAGGATCCTAGACATTTTTGTAAGTTTTCTCCTAAATGTGTCAAGTTGTGGACATTATATTGTTGCCAATGTTTCCAATATGTTGCCATTATTTGTTATTCTTAACAGTCAGCCACCTGTTTTGTAAGTAACAATGGCCTCAAGGTGACAGTTGAAGATGCCAAGTGTGTGCAGGCCAATGCATTTGTCCAGAGTGGAATCTTCCAGGAATATATTTTCAAAGAGGAGAGTGCTACCTTCAGGATAAACCTAAATGTCCTTCTGGTAATAAATTTTAATTTTATAAACTTAAGGTTTGAAAAGAAGTCAAAGGTAGTGTAAAGATATGCCATGTCATATCATACTAGACATGAAGTACTCTTTGACAAATTGCCACTCCATTTCTGGGGCGGATCTTGAGGGGTGACCAAACTCCTAAATTAAAAAAAAATGAGATGTTATAACCCGGTGACTTGGCCTCAGAATGCCAGAAAACACATTTCCGAGGACTTCAATTTTAAACATTTTCCAGGTGAGGATGCCCCCGGAATCCCCTACATGGGGACCGTCTTTGGCAAGCCGTATCTAAAACCCCCTTCTTCTAAAATCCTGTATCTGCCCCAGCATTTGAAAAACTGTGTGTTCTTACAAGCCACCTAAATAAATGGTGTTTTCTCAACATAATTCTTGACTAGTTGGATACAAAAATTAGGTGTTTTTTATCTTAATGGCATTTTTGTCAATGCATTTATCAAACAGTTTTGTTCCTGAAGGACTCTTATAGGTGAAGAATCAACTGAAGGTGAAAACAAAAAGCTTTTGAGACATATTTTGGGCCAAATTGTGGTTCCTAATAGTTCCAAAATAATGCTATACAAGGTCATTAATTCAGCTCAACAATAATTAATCATCCTTTATTTTTTTTCCAGGAATGCCTCAATATTTTTGGTTCCTCTAAAGACACTGGAACTTGTACTGCTCTGAAGATGTGCTATGCAGGATATGGCTCTCCTCTTATCCTCATGTAAATAGATATAATTTTATACAGTTTTGTTTTATCCTAACTGTGTACCTTGCTGGTAAATAAGACCCTTCCAGTTTAAGAAGGTTGGCCTTGATTTGTCACACCATCCCAAATTTGATTGACAGATAGTTTACTGGCAAAGCTCTGTCAGACTAGCCAGTTCTGAGCACTGATTTACTAATGATTAAATGAACTTTTCAAAAACTTAGTAAATTTGACTGGCGTTGGTGTTACCATAGCAATGCATTGGTGGTGGTATTATTAATACTGGTTCATTATGGGAAGCCTCTATTATTTCTAAACCATGATTGCTCAAATATTTCTATTAACTGGCTAATAATTCATGGTTTTTGGTAAAATTATTCACAGTTATTCACCCAGTCACACAGACATTCTAACAGTAGAAAACAACTCAAGGGCCAGTGTTGAATGAGTATTGCATTGTTTTGTGATATGTGGTTCTGAGTTGATGATATTCAATATTGAAACACTAATGATTGTATCTTGTAAGGCTAGAGGAAGGAGGTGTTCTAACAGATTGTAGCATTCAGACTCAAGAGCCAGATGAAACTTTGGATTTTGACTTCAGTAGTGCAGAGGTCCTCAATAAGATTATCATGAAAGTAAGAAGGAGAGCACTTTGTTATATAACAATCATGTCATGAAAGATGTGGTTATTGGTCTTCGTAGTGTAAGATAAGAAGTGAAGTCAACTGAACATTACTTT